GATTTTAATGCCCACCATTTCCTCGGGGGGGGGTCTCATTGTGACTCACTTGGCATTTCAGTTGGAGGCTTTTTTTGCCTCTCACCCCCTCCAATGTTTTAAAAAAGGGGTTACTCCCACCCATTTTGATCCTCGTACTCATACTCTTCTTGCATCGATCTATCAGTCTGCTCTTCCTCCACTGCACTAGACTTCACCTGGTCTTTCTACCAGACTTACATGACAGCGATCATTTTCCGATCATTCTTACTTCTCCCTTCCTATTCCACACCTTCCCGGTAACCCTCGCTGGCAATTTGATCGGGCAAATTGGGATCTTTACTCACCCCTCACGCTTTTAGTGAGGTTCCTTCTTCATCCTCCATTGAGGGAGCTCCTACAACATCTTCTCGACATCAGTTTAAAACCGCAAGCTTCTCATTCAAATACCCCAAACCTCAGGCAGGCATTCTCAGAAGCGTCCCTTTGGGTGGTCTCCGGGCTTGTGCTCGTGCAGTAGTTTGAAACGTGCTCATGGGGCAGGTACCGGGTTACAATAGAACCGCTGAGGAGACTTGTTGATTTTAAGCAGAAGCGTGCGATCGCTCGCCGTGTCTCCGTGAAGCTAAACGCATTGTTGGCGAGACTATGTTTCCACCATCACCTCTGCTTTTTCTATGAGTGCAGTCTGGAAAAAAGTGAGGAAATTGAGTGGTAAATAAATCTCCTGACCCGGCTCCTGTTCTACGGGTCACTGGTGTTGATATAGCAAACCCTCTCGACGTTGCCATTGAACTTGGCACACATCTGGTCCGTATTTTCCCGAGGGCTCCATCTATGCCCCTCGTTTCTTTCCTCAAAGGGCTGCCAGAGAGTTAGTACCCTTGACTTTTCTTCTCTCGGAGAAGAACAGTATAATGTGCCTTTTACACTTCAAGAACTGGAGGCAACGCTCTCAGCCTGCCGATCATCGCAGCTGGGCCTGATGACATTCATATCGTATGTTACAACATTTACATCGGTCAGCCCTTGTAGTCCTCTTACACCTCTTCAATCTTATTTGGCACAAGGAGTTCTTCCCCCGCTGTGGAAATCTGCCATTGTTCTCCCTTTCCCCAAACCGGGTACTACAGGACATGATGCCTCCCACTATCGCCCCATCGCTCTTACAAGTGCAGTTTGCAAGTGATGGAACGCCTCGTAAATCGACGTTTAATGTGGTATTTAGAGACTCAAAAACAGTCTCTCCGCTAGTTCCCTATGGCTTTCGTAAGGGTCGTTCTACCATAGAAACCCCTTACTTACGCTTGGATACGTATGTTGTAATGCCTTTGCGAATAATCACTCAGTTAATTGCCATATTTTTTGACCCTTGAGAAGGCATATGACACAAACTGGAGGTATAATATTTTGGCCCAGGCCATTCCTTAGGCTCCGAGGCAATCTACCATCCTTCCTTAAGAACTTTTTAACTGACAGACATTTCCGTGTTCGAGTCAATAATGTTCTTTTTCCCGGACTTCGTCCAAGCTGAAGGTGTCCCTCGGATGTGTTCTAGCACAAACTTTTTCTCCTTGCTATAAATGATTTGGCCTCTGTTCTTCCACCCAATATTTGGTCATCACTCTATGTTGATGACTTCGCTAATTGCTTGTGCAGGCCTGACTGTCAAACCCTTTTTGCAGTTTCTCTCCAGCATGCGGTCGACCGTGTTTCCACTTGGGCCACCACACATGGGTTTAAATTTTCAAGTACCAAAACTCAACCAAATTAAATTTTACTAGACGCTCTGTTATCTCCGATCATCCTTTGTATCTCTATGGCTCCCGTTTTCCCCCAAAAAGTGATACAGCAGGTTTCTAGGGCTTTCTCTTTGACCGTCGTTAACCTGGAACCTCACATTACCTCTTTGAAGGCCAACTTGTCACAGCCGGCTAAACCTTCTTAAAAAACCCTTGCTCATCTTTTCCTGGGGAGCTGATCGTCGAACTTGCTTCGCCTAAATTCAGCCCTCGTTTTATCGAAAATCGATTATGGTGACCAGATTTATTCCGCGGGCCCCTCCTGCTACTCTCTCTAGCCTTAACTTATCCATCACCAAAGGGTTACGTTTGTGCCTTGGTGCTTTTCGCTCTTACCCCTGTTGAGAGCCTCTATACAGAAGCAAATGTTCCATCCTTGTCTGATCGCCGTGATGCCCATTGCCTTCGTTACTATGTACGCTCTCACGATCTACACAATCCTTCCATTTATAGAATGGTCACTGATATTAGTAGACATTCTTTATTCGTTCGCCGCCCCTGTTTGCTCCGCCCTTTTCTCTTCGCCTACATTCACTCTTGTCTTCCCTTCAGTTACCACCTTATATGTTTATGTAGCATCTCAAATTTTCCCTGCCCCTGGGAAGTTCCAGCTGTTCGGTCTGTTCTTTCTCACTCCCTTGCTCGAAAGCTCAACTGCCTACGGTGGCTTCCCGCTCTCTTTTTTTTTGATCACTTCCACTCCATTCTCAGGGCCCCGCTGTGTACACAGATGGCTCTAAGTCTTCAGCGGCGTCGGATTCGCGCAGTGGGTTTTCCGGACAGCGTCGTACGAGGCATTTACTATCTTCAGCTAGCATTTTTACTGCTGAACTGTATGCCATCTTGCAGCACTTATTCGTATTGCATCTATGCCTGTGTCATTTAAATTTTTAGTGTCTCAGACTCCCTTAGTGCTCTACAGGCTATACGAAAAATTTGATACATCTCATCCCCTAGTTCTCCGTATCCAACTTTGGCTACGCCGTATCTCTACCAAACATAAAGATATTGTTTTTTTGTTGGGTCCCTGGTCATGTCGACGTACAGGGGAATTTAACAGGCAGACACTGCTGCGCGTCAGCAGTTATGACCTACCATTTTCCTATCGAGGTGTTCCATTTCTGGACTATTTTGCTGCAAAAAGCTACCCAACCTTCGCAACCCGTTGGCAACAACGTTGGTCAAATCTGCTCGGTAACAAACTCATTCTAATTAAACGAGCATAGGTTTAGGGCCCTCTTTTGTCATCAGTGCCGAAGTTGGGAGAACCACTCTCTCCCGCCTTCGCATTGGCCACACTCGTCTTACTCATGGGGATCTCATGGAGAGGCCAACTGTTCCTCTCTGTGAGCAGTGTCAAGTTCCAGTATCGATTAGCCACATTCTGTTTAGACTGCCCTTCTATAACGAGCACCAGAATTTACCTCCAACGCGTCTTTTGTTTTACTACTCTCTCTTTACCTTCCCCTTTTTGCTGATGGACCCTCCTTTTAATCCTGACTCTCTCATTGACTTCTTGACAACGACCGATTTACTCCACAAACTCTGATGATACTTTTCGCACTCCCCTCAGCCCTTTCTGGCTCAGTCTCTTGCTGCCCTTTACCCTTTCACCATCCACTGCCCCGCTGTTATCCGTAACCTGTTGCTCATCCATCTCCCTTTTGCCACCTGATGCCCTCACTTCCTTCCTGCCCTGCAGCGCTGTATAGTCCTTGTGGCTTAGCGCTTCTTTTTGATTATAATAATAATGGATATCTACCCAGATGCACCCTATTTGCAACTTGCTAAGCACAACTGCTTTGTGGGATTCTATACAAGGGGTCCCAGTTCCAAATTATGGATCTAATTTCCCTCAAGGCAGAAATGACTGTCCCAAATCCCTTGCCAATCCTGTTGGATTACTCACTGTATTCTCAATGGTTTTTCTGAATCTGCATCCCCTCAAGGAAGGTTCCTTGATGTTGGTGAGGGGCTCTTGATTTAGGGAATTGGATCTGTGCTCCAGTTCCCCGAATTAAGCCTGAATGCCTTCCACATCCCCCCCCAGGCGCTGTATAATCCTCCGGGTTTAGCGCTTCCCCCTTGATTATAATAATAATAATAATAATAATCTGAATCTGCATACAGAATCTTCATTTCTAGACCCATTGTTATCACTCCCTCTGCTTTTCATTTACCTGATCATTACTCCTGATCCCTACATTGAAACCCACTAAGAATCACCCACTATTCTATTAACTAAACACTCTTAATACCAAATACCACAAGACTGCAGAACCTCCCCTTCATAGAATCCCAAAAAATGACCCAGTGTCTCCCTCAGAATTCTACCATTGGTTAATAAATACAAGTGCCCTGTCTAATCCACACAGTTCTCCATAAATCTGAGTGTATGGAGAAAGATGAAATTCCTCATCATAACTGTTTTTACCAAAAGCACTTGCTGTGCCTCCTGCAGATCTTGACCACCCATCTGTATACAATGCTAAGTGTTGGCTGTATTTATCCCTACAAAGGTCCAAGAATCAGTGCCTTGGCTCTGATGGTTTATTCATGTGCTTGGTTCCCCACCCTAAGGAAGAAAGGAATTGCTGGAAAAGGTGTTCAAAGAATGTTCACAATCATAAAAAGTTTCAGGTGTTGTGACAGAAGGATGACACTCACCTATATTTCTATTTGGTTTGTGTTGATTGTAAATGCTGACCATCATCTGAATGCTCCTATAGTGTACAATTTGTGAAAAATGACAATCTGCTGACAAGGTCACTGGAATTCTAAATGTAATCAAGATTTATCACCCAACATCTCACCAGAGTTACCTGAAGATGATACAATTTCTGCTGACAGTAATCCAACTACCACAGCACTACCAACAGAGGCTATGTGAGAACAAGGCCAACAGATTCCTTTTCCTTCTGTTCAGGAGCTAGATTTCAGGAAACTGAATTATTATAATAAAAAAGAAGCACTGGGGAAGGGGGGTTGTATTTAAAGGAAAGGGAGAAGAGGTCCAACTCTCTGGATCAAGAGCCCCTTTGCTATAGCAAGGGAACCCCCCCCCCCCCCCAATCCCCATAAAAGGCATTTTGTTTAAAGAACTGAAGTTCGTCAAATTTTTCTTGTGCATTTGCATATTCCAGCAAATATTTGCCACCAAAATCTTTAAAACAGTATATATATATTCAATTAAATCAATTAAACTGTCATAAAAATATATTTTAAAATCCCAAATTTTATTATATACATATAGAAAATTATTTAACAAGAATGTGAATGTATCTACATATTAGCATATCTGTTAAAATTTCCTGCTACTCTATACACTTTCTGAAAATACTGGGAATTCTAACAAACTTTGGGAAGCTAACTCTTAATACCAAATAATTTTCATTTCTTGATTTTATAAAGGCTCATGAAGCTAAAGTTTGCTTTTATTATAAGAGTAGAAATGAAGTTTTTTCCAATTATGCTCACTGTTAATCTTTCCCTAATTTTTTTCTGATCAAGGAACAGATGTCTTGAAAAGGTTACTGAATTTATGTAATACTGTAAAAGAGACATTAAAAAATGCAAAATGAAAGTTTTCAACAAATATCAAACATGTTGACAAATACTAAAGTGGCATCAGCTATCAATAAAACATTTATGTCAATACCTCAGCAACTGCATAAATATTAAATATCACTATTTTACAAATTTCCTCCTGTAAAATATTAATATTTGGCAATTACAATCCATTTCCTCCAACTCCAACTTTGAACTACATATTAGATAATGGAAATAACTTACCACATTATTAAAACTATTTTAAGGTGTACCTCTTTAACACTGAGGGAGACTGCAATCTGCTGTTTCTCACTCAATATAACAAATCTTAAATAAATAAATAAATAAATATTTTCAGTTAATTATAAACTATTACTGTATCAGCATTCACAAACTGAAAGCCCTTCTTGCCCTTAACTGAAGTGTTTTAATAAACGTTAATAAGACCAAAATTTATTCAAAATATGTAGTAATATTCCAGCAACCAATAGGCATAAAAAGTGGCCAGTATATCAACTATGATCCTCTCCTTCCCTTATCTTTCTGCTGATGACCTTCCCTCAACACCTCTACCTTTTCCATCTCTCGCTGCTGCTTTGTAGTCTTGTTCAACCTTTATGAGTTTAATGTCTTCAATGAATATCTGTATAATAATGAGACAGCAGTGAGACAATCTTTCATAAACTGCAATTTATTTAAATTTATCTTAATCACATAACCTGCCACAAATTTCTGTTTCCCTTTATCTTCAGACTGCAGCCACAGCTGATTTCTTAATAGCTAAACATCAGTGGGTGTGCTGCTTTTCTTTGCCAAAGCATAATCTGTAAAAAGAGTGCTGTTGAAAGTTTCTGTTCACCTGACTCACAGCTGAATTAGGGGCATTGATGAAATATGGAATGTTGGAATGGAGATGTTCTACCAAACTTGAAAAATAGAATCAAGAAAGTTTTTCCTTAGTAAAATAAAGGAAGAATTGTACAATACTGACAATCAGCTTTCATTCTTCATCAATTTTGTAGCAAGTTACATATTGCTTTGCATTATGTGAAAGAATTTTATAGTAGTATTTCTTTTGTACACAGTGCTCAACATTTAATAAATGACATAAAAGGGAGAATTTCTTCTACTGTTTCTCACACATTATTTATCATCTATGAATATTTCATGCCTAAATATATTTCTCTGTTTTGTATTAAATTATGACTTAGATATGTAAACTAAGTAGTAAGCCTTAGACTGTGCTTCAAGATGCTACACCTCTACATCTTCACTGTTTTCAAGGTATATCTCTAACATGGTAAATTGGAGAACAAAATTTTTGTAAACTTTAATAATTTAACTATAAAACAACAAACTGTTCATAAACTCATTAGACAAACTCCCCCAGTAAGCTTAATATATGAACTGCAGAGCAACAAACATAAAATGTATGTAGTTGTGTTTGGAATTAATCAAAAGGTGTTAATTTTTATACTTAAATGGCTCTGTTAAAAATGATGGGTCATACTGGTTTCTTGTGTGTGCATCTTTATGTTCCACAATCAAACCCTGTGAAGATCCACTTGCGCTCCAAGCAGGCACCAACCCCTGTAGTAATCTGCTTATATACTGTTGGGTACCTGCATCAAAAAAAGCATGCAAGGCTCAGTACATTTGTGCTTTAAACTTTCTTCCCAAACTCAGGTTAAAAAAAGTCAAAGCTCCATAAATTACTGCCCCACTAATTCAAGTTATTTATAGCCAACGATAATACAAAAAACTGATTTAAAGGTAGAAAACCTGAAACTCTAATAACTTACTGATTCAGCATTGCCTCAATATCTGAAGGACGAATTTCCTTGTCAAACTGTTGGATGAACGACCAAATGTAATCAACACTTGCTCCCTTTGGATGTATGTGTAGGAAAGTTGAAGTGAGACCTGCAAAAGATTCATCTACAATTAATGGATTTATCATCAATACATCTTGCAATTCAAGAAGCTTCCATATTTATTTTTCTGATTTTATTTACTCTAGACTTCTGAAAGTTTAAAGCTTATTTGATTTTGAAATCCTTAAGAAGAGTGCAATAACAGTGTTAAGAGAGAAAACGAGAATTTCCAGGCCTACCAATAAGCTGTGCTGTCTTGTCAGTAAGGGGAGCTGTTGATATAGACAGTAAGTCCTCTGTTTCATCCTTGCAGTCTTCCTCTCCTTCCCCATTTCCCCCAGCCTGTTCTCTCAGTTTCTTCAACTTTGCTTGCAGTTCAGCCATTTTAGCATCATCCTGACGCTTGCGGACGGCATTTTCAGAAAGTGTCTGGAATGGAAAGATACAATGTTGAAGTACAATATGCATTTGCATTACAAAAACTCATTAGTTATAACGTGATGGATTAATCCTCAAATTTTGTTAAGAATCCCTGAATTCTTTAGGGGTTCCTATCTACAGGAAGGCTGCCAGAGCAGCAGTCAAAACATGAACATGTAAAGTGATCAAGTGATAAAAGAAGTGTAAAGTAAAAGGACACAAGTGCAACTAATGTGACATTTATTGTGGCAACGTTTCGCTCTCCAGGAGCTTTATCAAGCCATTACAAACAATACATGGACACAGAGGGTATTATAAAGGCTCAGAGTGAGTGAATACTAGTGAGGTACCATTTCGATGCTCACTAGTGGTAGTAGTAGTAGTAGTAGTAGTAGTAGTAGTAGTAGTAGTAGTAGTGGTAGTGACAAAAGTAATACAATATGGTAAAGCAATTAATTCGTACATGAGTAAAAGGATATAAAAGCTATTACTTGGGTAACATAAAAATAGGTTGGACAAATATAAACTGGAATGAGGCAGCTTGTTTCAGTATTCACTCTCTGTGCTTTGTGTAGTATAACAGGAGAGACTATGTGATGGCAGGGTTTACTGTTTTCAGGAGGATTCTTGCTAAGACTTCGGAAAAACAGTAAACCCTGCCATCACATAGTCTCTCCTGTTATACTACACAAAGCACAGAGAGTGAACACTGAAACAAGCTGCCTCATTCCAGTTTATATTTGTCCAACCTATTTTTATGTTACCCAAGTAATAGCTTTTATATCCTTTTACTCATGTACGAATTAATTGCTTTACCATATTGTATTACTTTTGTCACTACCACTACTACTACTACTACTACCACTAGTGAACATCGAAATGGTACCTCACTAGTATTCACCTCACTCTGAGCCTTTATATACCCTCTGTGTCCATGTATTGTTTGTAATGGCTTGATAAAGCTCCTGGAGAGCGAAACGTTGCCACAATAAATGTCACATTAGTTGCACTTGTGTCCTTTTACTTTACATATTGTCGGTAATTCTACCAACTTTATTACGATAAAAGAAGTGTCAGTGTGGGTGTACCTGACAGCAAGTGGAGTACTGCTATATATTAACAGCCCTTTTCAAGGCAGGTGAAACTGCAGATCTGGAGAATATACTAAGAACTCTCACTGCATGTGTAAGTACAGTCAGGCCCCTCAATTACTGGGACCATTTGAAGTCCCTTGACCTGTACTCATTGTAATGCTGGCAAGAAAGATGCATCATAATTTACACCTGGAAAATCCTAGAGGGACTAGTCCCAAATCTGCATACAGAAATTACTCTCTGCAAAAGGAAAAAACTGACAGGTGGTGCCAAGCACCATCTGCAGGGGTGCTCGGCAAGCAGGGGTGCCATGAGAACCCTAAGAGATAACACAGCAAGCGACAGGGGACCAAGACTGTTCAACAGAACTTACGGTTGTGACCACTACTGAGAGTCTTAATAAGCCATCCATAATACAATCCACAGAAAAGTTTAACTTAAGCATGTACAAAGTGACAACCAAAGAAAATTATTAACATGTTCATATTTTATACCTGCTGCATTCCTTGTAATGTTTTCTTAAATGCTTCAATTTGATCATCTCTCATTGCCACTTCAGTCTTCAGATCTGCTTTGATAAGATCGACCTCATTTTTATAAGCTTCCATCTGACACCTTAAACTGTCATTTTCCTCCTGCAAATAAAAAAAATTACTGATGAAAACATACATTCAGGTTATTGCTGTGAAGCAGAAAATAGAATATAAAAATTATGGCTACAGCATTTGCCTCTTTCCCTTGATCAAATCATATAATGACATGATACTTCACAATATATCTGGCAGGACTAAACTCCTTCAGCATGTATGCATACATACCCACCCTTGAGATACCCAAATTAATGAGTACTACATCTCTAAGTTCTCCATCCCTTCAGGGAACATCTAGATAAGTACAAATAGTAAGCGTGTCTGTCTTGCACTCAGCAGACGAAGGATCAAGCCTCCACATGTCTTCCACTTAATGACCCACATGGGTCTAGCACTTAACATGAGTTATTAAAAAATTAAGGCCATACCTTCAGGTATTCATTCTGCCGAATTTCTTCCTGGCAGGCTGGCCCGCATCCTCTCATCCGAGACATCCATTTCTTCTGCATCTTCTTTGTCCGATTCATCCAGCTGAATTTCCTTGATTTCCTGGAGCACCAATAAAACAAGAACATGTCAGTCTTGTGCTAAATAAACACAGCAGCATCCAGAGCAAAGCCTGACTTTTTTTTCTCTCACAATAAAGCATGCTTTTAAATTAACTTTATAATTTGAAGTAGTGCATTTTTTTTTTTTAGCAGATTAAAGTTACAAGCAGCCTGATGTTGCAAGCGTTGATCAAGTCTATACCATGATAGCATTTTTTATTACATCAGACTGTTGTGTGTATTGTAGTTCTGTGATTACAAAGGATTTAAGGCGAGGTTATCTGCTGGAAAAATACTACACTCAAAATATTTCAACACAGATGAAGCTAGGATAAGAAGAAAATAGAGGGGTGGGGGCAAAAGTGAAGATAGGGAATAGAATATTAAAAAGACTGGGAAAGAAAGTTACAGTATGCAGAGAGAAAGAGATAAGGGCAATGTAAATAACCCTTCATTACTTGAAAATATATATTACTATACCTAATTGCTTATGCAATAAATCAAAATCTCTCATTACCAACTAAACAGTTGATATAAAAATAAATAAGCATAATACAATACAGTGCTTCTACACCCTGATTGTTACTGCATAAACTATGCAAAGTGATGCCAAATTTGTGTTCATCCAAATAATAGAGTCACAGAATAATACACGAGCAGCCTGGGATACGCAACAGAGGTCAGTCAGTTAGTTGTCTCTAATTTGATCAAATTAAGTGTAGGTAGATGCCAAACTGAGCCCCTGGATGCAGCTGCCATCAGAATTTCATCCATGTATGCCCTCTATAATACCTTACCTCTGGCATTAACAATTCTACTTACCTCATTGAAATCCTTTGTGTCATCATGTCTTCATAAGGTGAGGCAATCTAATTTCTCTATTTTGGATTATCTACAATAATAAATAATGGGCAATGCCATGGTTGAGAATTCATGCAATACTCACAAGAGGAACTATCATAAGCAGTAGTGAAGAAGAATAAGAGCAACAATAGATTTGTGAATGCAATGCTGAGCTTTGCACCAGATTGGTCCTTATTACTGCCTGCTGAGTCACAGTCGTCATGGCAACCATGCTCTTCCAACCATTCCTTTATCTTACCAAGAGACTTCTCCAAAAAGTTTAACGGAACTTGAGGCATGCCTAGCCTGGGATCTGCAGCATGCACGTGGTTCACTAAATATGGCTCTTATGACCAATCTAGGCCCATGCATATAGCATGGATGTATTAATGACGTCTCCTCCATAAACACATGCAACTTTTACCTGTCGGCATATACATAGTGACAACTAGATTGCACTTGCAAAGCTGTGTGTGTCTGCTCAGTTGGCTTACGTTCAATCTGATATCATTACCGAATTTCTGTCAGGTCACCAGTGTGGTAAGCCGACTGAGGCATTACACACGTTTTGCTCACACTTTACACAAAGCTTCATTCAGGTAAGACACCTGCTGAATCAGGTATAAAGAAAACCTGCCAAATTTTCTGATGGTTAAAAT